CAGAGCTGAATTTTCACTTTTGCTCCTCAGGACACAGTCGGGCAATACTCGCTCTTCTTGTGCAAGTATTCCAACCCCGCTGCAACCCCTTCTCTGAGGACACTCGGTTCTCGAGAGTCCTCTTTCCCAATCTCTCAAGCTGCAGCAATGGGATTGATTCTATTCTGAAGTCAGATTTGACTGCATTCGCGTCGTAAAAACACTAGCAACCTCAACCCACAGTCGGGCTTGGAAAAAGCCTCGTCGTTCACTATGGCTACCACTTCGAACATGTTCATGTATTCCCTGACGATCCAGCCTCCGACTGCGATCACGCAAGCTATTCTGGGCCAGTTTGCAGGGACTAAGGAGCAGCAGATCGTGACGGCGTCAGGGTCGAAGCTCACGATTCATCGTCCCGATCCGACCCAGGGCAAGATTACACCAATCTTTTCCCAGGATGTCTTCGGTATCATTCGTTCTCTGGCAGCCTTTCGGCTGGCTGGAAGCAGTAAAGGTATGTTTGATGTTCTCCCTCTTCGCCCCAATCGCAAGACCAACTTAGTGATTCGTCAAGCTTCCCGGGCAGCACGATCCTTATCTGCCGAGCCGACCTTATTGGAGGTGGGACGTGCCCCGGTCGGCAATGCTGACGCTGGGTGCTGTTCCTGAATTGTGCTGAGAGAATAATGCGTATAGATTATATAATCATTGGTTCGGACTCGGGACGTATCACAATCATTGAATATGTTCCCTCCCAGAATCGGTTCAACCGTATCCATCTTGAGACCTTCGGCAAGTCCGGCGTTCGTCGTGTCGTCCCTGGTCAATACCTCGCCGTCGATCCAAAAGGTAGAGCTTGTTTGATCGCCTCTGTGGAGAAGAATAAGCTCGTTTATGTTCTGAATCGGAACTCGCAGGCCGAGCTCACGATTTCGTCCCCTCTGGAGGCTCACAAGCCGCAAACAGTGGTCTTTGCAATGACGGCTCTGGACGTTGGCTACGAGAATCCCATCTTCGCGGCCCTCGAGGTGGACTATTCGGAATCAGATCAGGACCCAACTGGTCGAGCCTATGAAGAGTCCGAAAAGGTGCTTGTGTATTATGAACTCGATCTCGGTCTGAATCATGTTGTTCGGAAGTGGGCAGATCCTGTCGACCGCACCGCAGCTATGCTATTCCAGGTACCGGGAGGTGCCGATGGTCCCAGTGGTGTCTTGGTATGTGCAGAGGATAACATTACCTACCGGCACTCAAACCAAGATGCATTCAGAGTCCCGATTCCTCGGCGCATTGGTGCAACGGAGAACCCCGAGCGCAAGCGCTCTATCGTCGCCGGTGTCATGCACAAGATGAGGGGTGCTTTCTTCTTCCTCCTTCAGACGGAAGATGGCGACCTGTTCAAGCTTACCATCGATATGGTGGAAGATGACAATGGACAACTGACTGGCGAGGTCAAAAGATTGAAGATCAAATACTTTGATACTGTCCCTACCGCATCCAATCTGTTGATTCTGAAGAGCGGTTTCCTTTACGTTGCCAGTGAAGCAGGCAATCATCACTTCTACCAATTCGAGAAGCTGGGAGATGACGACGAAGAGACTGAATTCAGCAGCGAGAACTTCCCTGCAGACCCCTCCGTTCCCTATGAGCCGATATTCTTCCGACCGAGAGGAGCGGAGAACCTAAACCTCGTTGAGACACTCAACTCTCTCAATCCCTTGATCGACAGTAAGATTGCGAATCTAAGTGAGGACGACGCTCCTCAAATTTACACTGTATCCGGTACTGGCGCCCGCAGTAGCTTCAGGACCCTCAAGCATGGTCTGGAAGTCTCTGAGATCGTGGAGTCGGAGCTCCCTAGTGTACCATCTGCTGTTTGGACTACCAAGTTAACTCGTGCCGATGAGTTTGACGCTTACATTATTCTTTCTTTCGCAAACGGTACCTTAGTCCTTAGCATCGGTGAGACCGTTGAAGAAGTTACCGATACCGGCTTTCTCTCAACTGCACCTACTCTGGCTGTTCAGCAGCTCGGTGAGGATTCGCTGATTCAGGTTCACCCGAGAGGCATCCGCCATATCCTTGCAGATCGGCGTGTCAATGAGTGGCCCGCTCCTCAGCATCGTTCGATTGTCGCGGCTGCGACAAATGAGCGTCAGGTGGCGGTTGCCCTCAGTTCAGGTGAAATCGTTTACTTCGAGATGGATGTCGATGGAACGCTCGCTGAATACGATGAGAGACGTCAGATGTCGGGTACAGTCACATGCCTCAGTTTAGGTGAGGTGCCTGAAGGTCGTGTGAGAAGTTCTTTCTTAGCTGTCGGATGTGACGACTCTACTGTCCGCATCCTGAGTTTGGATCCAGACTCAACCTTGGAGAATAAGTCAGTCCAGGCTCTTACGTCGGCCCCATCAGCGTTGAACATCATGTCAATGGCCGATTCAAGCTCGGGCGGTACGACACTCTACTTGCACATTGGCCTTTACTCCGGGGTCTACCTCCGAACTGTTCTCGACGAGGTGACCGGCGAACTTTCCGATACTCGTACCCGTTTCCTGGGAGCCAAGCCAGTCAAGCTATTCCGTGTTTCCGTCAACGGACAAACGGCCGTTCTCGCGCTCAGCTCCCGACCTTGGCTGGGTTACTCTGACATCCAGACAAAAGGTTTCATGCTCACCCCGTTGGATTACGTGGGCCTGGAGTGGGGCTGGAATTTCTCCAGTGAGCAGTGTGTTGAAGGCATGGTTGGTATCCAGGCACAGAATCTTCGGTATGTTCACTCCTCTCTGCTCCCTTATTCACTTCTCCTTTTTGATCGTATGATGAGAGCTTTAATCCGAAAGTTCATGTGGATCATCTCTTTAAAGTTTATATCTCCAATTGTTCCTACTGAGATCACTGCAACATACACATTTCAAATGTCAAAAAAATGGGTTACTTGATCAATTTGACTAACTCGTTCACACGACGATAGGATTTTCTCTATCGAGAAATTGGACAACAACATGCTGCAGGAGTCAATTCCTCTTTCATACACACCCCGGCGTATGCTTAAGCATCCAGAACAGCCATTGTTCTATGTTATTGAGTCGGACAACAATGTTTTATCACCGTCCACCAGAGCCCGATTGATTGAAGACTCCAAGGCGCGTAATGGGGAGACAGATGTTCTTCCGCCCGAAGATTTCGGCTATCCACGAGCTACGGGTCACTGGGCATCTTGCATTCAAATTGTCGATCCCCTGGAGGCCAAAGCGGTTATTTCAACGATCGAACTCGAAGAGAACGAGGCCGCCGTCAGCATGGCAGCCGTACCCTTTTCCAGCCAGGACGACGAAACTTTCCTGGTGGTGGGAACGGCCAAGGATTTGACTGTCAACCCTCCCTCATCTGTGGGAGGCTTCATCCATATTTACAGGTTCCAAGAAGATGGGAAGGAGCTGGAATTCATTCACAAGACGAAGGTCGAAGAGCCACCTCTTGCTCTCCTCGCATTCCAGGGACGACTTCTTGCCGGCATTGGCTCTACCCTTCGGGTCTACGACTTGGGAATGAAACAGCTGCTTCGAAAATGTCAGGCTCCCGTGGTGTCAAAGACAATTGTTGGCCTTCAGACACAAGGTAGCCGGATTATTGTCAGCGACGTTCGCGAAAGTGTGACATATGTCGTGTACAAGTACCAGGAGAACGTCTTGATTCCTTTCGTTGATGATGCTATCTCTCGCTGGACGACGAGCACCACCATGGTAGACTACGAGACTGTTGCCGGTGGTGACAAATTTGGTAACCTGTGGCTCGTGCGCTGTCCTAAGAAGGTATCGGAGGAGGCGGACGAGGACGGATCGGGAGCCCATCTGATTCATGAGCGTGGTTATCTGCATGGCACCCCGAACCGTCTGGAGCTGATGATCCACACCTACACACAGGATATTCCGACCAGCCTGCACAAGACACAACTAGTGGCAGGTGGAAGGGACATCCTTGTGTGGACCGGGTTTCAGGGTACAATTGGCATGCTTGTGCCTTTTGTGAGCCGGGAGGATGTGGACTTTTTCCAGAACCTAGAGATGCAACTAGCTGCACAGTGCCCACCCCTCGCCGGACGGGATCATCTTATCTATCGCAGCTATTATGCACCAGTTAAGGGAGTTATTGATGGGGATTTGTGCGAAATGTATTTCCTACTGCCTAATGATACGAAGATGATGGTAGCAGCGGAACTGGATCGTTCCGTCAGGGAGATTGAGCGGAAGATCTCGGTAAGTCAACCCGTTTCCGGTGTTATTTCTAGGATGGTGCCACTAACCATATACATAGGATATGCGAACGAGGGTGGCGTACTAATAATTCTGATGGCGATTTCGGCGTCTGTGTGCGAGGGTCTATAGATACCCAATGACGATCATGCTAGATAAGTATCATGTACAAATTTTATGGATCAGTATCCCGGTTCCCGAGCATATCACTGGCCCCATGGCCATTTCATGCAATCTGTAAGCGGATGTCTCTTGCCTTGCTCGGTCTTCTGCTTCTCTCGGTTGATCTTGAGCTGGATACAGCGTGCACTCTCATGTGCAGGTCTGTATGAGACGAGAATGAGGTTTTGCCCTCGACGATCTTTGAGTACGGTTTTATCCGTTATGCACCACGGATATTGAATCGTAATTTATCAGTCGGGACAGTCTTGTAGCTCTTATTCATAATGCCATGAACATCTTATGTCGTATTCGCCTATCTATCTACATACCATGATTTCTATTCCGTAGAATCCCACAATTAGGAGCTGTGCAATCGCTCGTATCCCCCTTTGTAGCAGAGTATCCTAGATGAATGTAGCTCGCGCGCGCTGATTGGCCGGTGCCCCTCATAGTTTGAGCAATGCTTTTCAATCACTCAGGCAGCCCTGAGCTGTTTCATACTTGGTCATCACTCCCCTGATTACACCTAAATCACTTCTTTCCGGTCGTATATATCCATCACTAATCCAATCACCAACCGATCCAACAAAGCATAACATCATGTCGGCTCAACCACCCGCCGAACAACCCTGGCACGCAGCCTTCCCAGCACCCCGCAACACCGCCCGCGGCATCTCCAGAGAAGAAATGATCCAGTGGATGCGCGAGGGCAAGCAGGCCGGAAAGGAATACGTGCTTGTTGACCTGCGCCGGAATGATCACGAAGTGGGTTGCCTGGACCGGTCTCTCTGCGCGGGAATTGTACTGATCTGTCGGTCCCAGGGAGGAACGATCAAGGGCTCACTGAACCTGCCCGCTCAGAGCTTGTATTACTCTCTTCCAACGGTGTATAGTCTTCTCCGGGCGGGAGGGGTGAAGTACATCATCTGGTATTGCGGTATGTGGTTTGAGCCCTGAGATGCAGGATGTGCATGGCTGTGCTTGGCTTTGGTTGATTGATTGCCCTTGCTGATCGGTACAGGCTCATCGGCGGGGCGGGGTACTAGGGCTGCTAACTGGTTTGCGGACTACCTTGAGGACCAGGGAGATGACTCGATTGAGAGTCTGGTGCTGCAGGGTGGGATTAAGGGATGGGTCGGTGCTGGGGAGGAGTACAGAGAGTTGATGGAGGGGTTCGATGCACAGGTTTGGCAGAAGAATGGGATTGAGTTGAAGTGATGCAGCCAGAGGTAAGCTTGAGGATGTGAGTATGTTATGTACATAGAAAGATAACGATACCATCATCGGATATCCTGATCTATAATGCGGGCGGCCCACAAACACTTTTCATCCTGGAAATGGGGTGTGATGACTTGGATGGCGCATGGAGCTCCATCAACAGCGTTCGGGTCATCTGCTTGAATGTAAGTGCCTGGTCCTCAAGAGTACTTTTGAAAAAGACTTACAACTTGGCTGAACGCCGTCAGTAACATCCATGGGTTCGGGGTCAAGCTCCTTGGAGGACTTTCCATAAGGGATGATGCATGCGGGATACTGAATTCTCGTTAGGCAAGGTATTGTCACAGGATGAGTGGCTTCTCACATCAAGTAGGTTCCAAACTAGTGTATACGGTGGCCATCCAAACGTATCATGAGGCACAGCGGTGTTCTGGGCCGCAGGTGCCAGGATAACGTCCAAGCCATTTTCGACCCACGTCTTGCGCCACGCATCGGCATACTTCTGTCTTGCAAGGTGCAGTGCATTAATCTTCTCGAATGGCGGTAGTTCCATGTCTACTGGGAAAGGTCCGGTGAACATGGGCGATGCCATTTTGGCCACTGAAGCCACCAATGGCTCCCCGCTGGATTCGATGTGATCAACGTGTGGTCCGTAGACGAAATATTGGAAAGCAAGACGGTTCACATATGCAAGGTCTCGTGTGGGATCATTTTCCAGCTGTACAATTCGGTGACCTTGCTTGTTCAACGCATCAATAGCCGAGTTTAACGCTCTGCGCACTGGAGGGTGCAGTGGAAAGTGGACGTCCTCAGGCAAGACGCCGATGGTGAGTTCAGTTTGCGATTTAGAGAGCTTGTACCAGGGTGCTGCACTTGCTGTCGCATCGTACTTCCAGGGTTCAGCGTCTAACACGGTCGACATAAACAGCTCGAGATCGTTCAAGGTATGAGCTAGGGGACCGGCCGATGGCTTCAAGCCGGGAACACCCTCCATTGCCAAATCGGCCACTTGACCACCCCAGGGGATGCGGTCTGTTGTAGGCTTGAAGCCATAAACACCGCAGCAGAGGGAGGGGATGCGAATTGAGCCCGCAATGTCTGTGCCTATTCCCAGAATTGAGCCACGGAAGGCCACCAGGGCTCCTTCGCCGCCACTCGATCCTCCAGCAGTCAAATGGGTATTATGGGGGTTCAAGGTGCGGCCGAAGATATTGTTTTCTGAGTCTCCTGTCTGAAGGCTGTTAGTGTTCTGGATTTTCAAAGCATCAATCGCAAATACGCAGGAGCCCACTGACCATCATTGTCTGGGGAATATTTGTCTTGACATAGAGCACTGCGCCCAGGTTGAGTAGCATCTCAACCAGAGCTGAGTTGGAAGTCGCCGGTTCATTCTCCAGGAAGGAGACATAACCCACCGTACTCTGGATTCCCTCTACACAGAAACTGTCCTTGATGCTGACAGGGAGACCATGGAATGGCCCAACCACCTTCTTCTCCCTCTTCAAGTATTCATCTAGATATTGAGCGCGCTCAAGAGCCCTCGCGAAGAAGTGCTCAGTCAGACACGAAGTCTATCGACCGTCAGTAAGATCGCTTCAAGTTGCAAGGTCATCTTCATACCCATTGCTGCGCAATAGCCGCCCGCTTACAGAATGCCGTCGTAACAGCCAATGAGCTCAATTCTCCATACGCCAGCTTCGGTAGGAGCTCTGCTGCGGAATAATTCTCTGTGATATCGAGCTCATCATCTGAGAGGATCCCAGTACGACGTACGACACCGGTTTCAATCAAACGGCCATTAGAGGGAACTGAAGCCAGGAATTCATCGCTTAGACGCCATTCGGATGGAATTTGCGCGTCCAGTTGCTTGCGCTTCTGTGCGACTAGAGTGCGCCAGGTTTCCGTTGAGGTGGAATCTTGAGTCATCTTGATTGCATGATTTGTCCCACGACAAGTGAAATTCCATCGATGTAATTATATAGGAAGGATGAAACATGCGGTGCCCCTCATCTTGCGAAGGATAAGGCATCTGTGATTCACTTCTTCATATCTTCAGTCCTGCTTCCGGTGGAAAAATGGCTCAGGACGTCGGAGTGCCCAGATGATTATGAGTGCGTCCACCTTCCTAATTAGGATAGTCAGGTGCACTGCCTCGGCTGAGTTCTCTCTGGCTTTGATCACTTCAGGAATTGAGAGATAACTCGACAGGTCTGTGAGCTCAACCATGAGCGCTGATATTATCCGATATGAAGGGGGAACAGAGTATACCCCGCCGGATGAGAGTCGTTCTCACTTGGCCTCTAGTATCAAGGATCTAAGACAAAACAAAAAGGTATGGATTCTTTACTGTGTCTTTCCAGGGCCTAACCCGATGAAAGAAGCCAGACTTGTGAATCTAATCGTCGTATAAACCCGCGAAGCATCATCGGCTCATCATGACATCCTCTGGCTTCGTCCCCTCAAAGTTTGTCAAATGATACGCATCGATGATGATGCGATCGTCCTCGCTGGTCATGACCCCAAGACAGATTAACCCATTCAGCCAGTTGTATTTCCCAGCTCCTGCTTCGATCCGTATATGGGAGAAGAACTCAACATCATCTTGTGTGACGGTACTTGGTGGCGCCGCCTTGGGATCCGCTGCAACTTGTTCGGCGTATGTCGTTCCCGGCCCTGGACGATAGAGCCCATGGACTTGCACAAAGAGATGGTGTCCGTCCGTTGTCTTTATGGTGTAACGCGCGTCAAGAGTCATAGACTGATCCCAATGATTTGTTAGCTCGTCACGTTCAGGGCAAGGCTCCCACCACTTACGTGTGTGCCTTCAATCGCAGTTGCCCAGTCTGCTCCTCCAAGAGAGAGAACAGTTCCTTCAAGCTCTGGACCCTTGAAGGTGCCTCCAACAATATTTGCAATGCCTCGAATCACTCCGGCCCCGTGAGGCGCCCCGATCTCAATCTCTTCTTTGGCAATGTCGCATTCCAGACGATAGAGGAATGCCAGCCCTGGTCGTCGCATTGGCTGGCTATTAGGGTAGTAGGCATTACCAGGCGAATCAGCAATTTGGGTGCTCATGACGAGGTAGAGTGTAGTCAAATGAGCGACGAGGCAATGGCTCTAGGATGGTGTCCGAATTGTAGTTCTGACTTGTATGGGCGCAAGCTTTCAAGTAGAACCTCAGAGCGAGCTGCAATCTCACGGCTGGAATCTTCGTAAGGTCACCAAGTGCAAGAGATACTAGGTAGAAAGAGCAACTCGACCCGTGATGACTAGTTGTGGCACACGATATCCTACCCGAGATCAGTGCCGATTGATTCTCAGACACTGCGGATCTGTTCATACTCCGCACGATGTGGAGTTGAGCTTACTTCCCTAGAAGGCAGGTCGACCCTTGATAACATGGGTATCGGCCATGATGCTCCACTTTGGTATAGAGGCATATCGAGACTCAAACTCATCTGTTCTGATTAGCTGGAATGTCCGAGTCTCCGAGATGGGACCTTGCATTAGCATCAAGTGGCCCGATAGGACTGCCCTCGCCGGTTGCATGCTTGAAATGCAGCTACTTTATCTTGACAGCCTGATAAAGCGCGTGTTCCCACTGCAATCTGTTTCGCCCTAACACTGACCCAATACCAACTCTCATCATGTCGTTCGTTCAAGCTCTACTCTCCAACGCTGCTATTCCGGTTGAAGATCGGCAACAGGCCCTCAACCGTGCTTATTCCGACCCCGGTCTACCTACAGCTAACCCGACTTCTTCCTTCTGGCTTAGATCTCCACATCCCGAACTTGCCCAGGCGCAGTCTGCTGAGTTGCCCTCTGAGGCAGAAGTAGTCATCATCGGTTCTGGAGTGACTGGAACTTCAATTGCAAGAACTCTGCTGGAGTCCCGCAAGCCTAGGAAGGAGGCCAAAGCCCGACCCGCTGTTGTCATATTAGAAGCGCGTGATGTCTGTAGTGGTGCCACCGGCCGCAATGGCGGTCATATACTTGAGACTGCGGAAGAATTCACGTACCTCGAAGCATCGCATGGCCTTGAAGCCGCCAAGAAAGCAATGAGGTTTCGATTGGCTCATCTGCAGGAGATCCTGAAGACCGCTGATGAGTATGGACTGACAGAGGAGACTCAAGCAAGAAAAGTTCAGTTTCTGAGTGTGTATTTTGATGAAAGAACCTGGGAGGAGGCTTTATTCCGTCTGCGACGTTTGAAAGAGTGTTTGCCTGAAGAAACCGTGGAGTGGAGAGCATATGAGAAAAATGAGATTCCAAAGGTGAACTGCAGATCTTCTTTCATTCAGTAGGCTCATCTGGATTTGCTTTTGCTGACACGTACAGGAATTCTGCCTGCCTCGTGCTCGAGGTATCGTTGCTGGTCCAGCTGGTGCTATCTGGCCATACAGATTTGTCACTGGCCTTTTGGCCCACTTGCGCCGCGAATTCCCCCAGGATCTAGTCATTGAAGCCAATACACCAGTGACAGCTGTCCGTGATGTTACTCCTGGAGAGGCGACTTCGTTGCGATATTCGGTTGAAACGACCAGAGGCACTATCCGCGCTCGTCACGTTGTCCACTGTACCAACGCTCACGTCGGGCATCTTATTCCCGAGTTGAGAGGGCGTATTTATCCAATCCGAGGACAGATGTCTGCGCAGACACCGGGAAGCAAGTTTCGCAATCAGGGAGCCGAGCATTCTTGGCTTTTCAACTATGACCGGGGATTCGATTATCTAACTCAGCTACCACAGTCCGAGGCAGGCGAGATGATGATGTTGGGAGGCGGATTTGCTCAAGGCGAGGGCGGTGGTATTGCCGACTTTGGTGTTTCCACTGATTCGGAGCTGAGCCTGTACATTGATATCCATCTCTCTGGTGCGCTGAGTGCTGTTTTCGGTCGCGAGAACTGGGGCAGCGTTCCGGGTCCCAGTGTGGAGAAGATGTGGACAGGGAATATGGCTTTCAGCGCAGACGGCTTCCCGTGGGTAGGGCAACTCCCCGTGTCTCTGACTAAAAGGGGACAGAAAGAGGAAGGCCACGGAGCTGAATGGATCTCTGCTGCATTTTCAGGGGAGGGAATGGTGATGGCCTGGCTGTGCGGAAAAGCTCTGGCAACGATGTTGCTGGCCCATGACGATGAACTGCTGGAGACAGAATCCACAGACCTCTCCTGGTTTCCAGAGCAGATGCTGGTAACTGAGGAGAGGATCAAGGAATGTGTCCTACCTCGCGATATCAATGATATATCATCTAGTTTATAGTGAACCAGGCAGTGGATAGATATGGCATATTGAATCCAATACCGCTAGACTACAAAAAGGTGTCCGGACGTTGTGCTCCTGAGTTTATGGATTAGATATCATAGTTATAGTAGTATAATATTCAAAAGGCAGTCTAAAGAAGAGAGAGAGGTGACTTAGTAGTGATTGTCATGTGCTCTAAGCTAGTTTTGTCTGTTTATGGAGCGACTTGCACTCCTTTACCCATGTTCATTCTCTTATTTACCAATGCATCCACCCCGTTAAGCCATCTTTTCCAGGTCTTCCCATCTCCCATGGCGAGCAATCGCCGCATTCGTGCATACAATCGGACGTTCTCATCTTCCTCTTCGCTTCTTATGGCTTGAGCGCTATCCTGTCCCCAAACCTTCCAGTCCCCCTTGGATGCCGTCCATGGCGCTTCGCCACATGTGAATTTGATCCATGCGGCCGCGAAATCCCGAGCCATGGCTCTTTCTTCCGGGCTCATCTTGTTTTTCAGATTCTGAAAAAGATATAGCAGCTCATGAGCATGGTATGCGGTTCCTTCTAGCGCGTTCTGAATTCTAGAGCGCTGATCAAAGTGATACAAGAAGAGAGCTTTTTGCTCGTGGAGATGCATGCTCTTCAGGGCCGTGGCGTAGTTGGGAATCTTGAAGACTGCGTCGCCGCACATATGTTCAACGCGCTCGAGGAGGACTTTGTGTGATAGCCCTGGGTGAATGTTGTATTCTGCCAGAATCTCATCTGTTTCGTTCTCATTCTCGATATGGTCGAGCAGTGTCTTTCGAATCGAAGCAAAATCGTCTTTCAGGAGATTTAGATGGAAAATGATTCCTTCATGGTAAGTATCTCCCAGCATTAAGGCTTCAAGCCAAGCGGGCGGGTCCTGAATCTCACAAGGATCTCTCTGATAGAACCAACCGTCGAGGCAAGGGTTGCCTGTTCCGGAAAGCACTCCTTGAATTTCGGGGGTCGCGTCGGCAAGCTCCTGTTGAGGAATTTGGCGAAGGCAGTCTAGTACGTCAGGCCGCGAGGCATCGATCTGAAAGTGTCGGCAAACCGCCTGGAATAATGCCTCATGTTGCTTCATGTCCCAGGGAGGAATGGACACAGACAGTCCTGACATACAGACTGCACGGTGGCACCGCGGGGGATGTGCAGCCACAAGCTGGTTGCTGATCGATATGCCGCCAGCAGATTCTCCAACAGCAGTCACTCTATCCGGATCTCCACCCAGGCTCTCAATGTATCGCTGAACCCAATCAAAAGCAACCTGCTGATCGGTGAAGCCGAAGTTCCCGCATCCTTGAAACCCGTCTTGTTGCAACTCGCGCAGAATGGCCTCACTAGCCATGAAACCTCCCAGGCCGACTCGATAATTGAAATTGACGCAAACAATGGGCATCTCCATCTCAACACTTTGCGAAACTAAGTTTACCGCGTCGAAGATGGGGAGATTGGCACCGCCGTACAGTAGCGAACCTCCATGCACATATACCAGGACTGGAACCTTTCGTTCACTTGGAGGAAATGGGAGTACAATGTTCATCACAAGACCATCTAACTCGTCGGTCTTGGGAGGTTCTGGAAAACTGGGGTTTGGCGGCCCGGGCACGAGGTCGTCACCGTCATCTCCCTCGAAATATGGTCGAGGGCAATCGCTTCTGCAATACACTCAGCCTTGGTGTGCTGGTAACGGCATGCACAAATATAAGAAAGTCTACCAACCCTAGCTTCGTCCCATCATGGTAATCGCCCTCCCAAGAGGTTTTCAGAGTGGATCTAGTCCAGCGCCTGGGAAGATTGGCGTACGGAATACCACAGTACTGCTGGACACCATTGGCATACTGGAATCCCTCCAGTTTCCCAAGAGAGGGAATTGCGACTGTGCAATTGGACACGGGAATCTGGAATGACATCTTGGTAAGCTTGTTTCGCTTCAAATCATACTTGAAACTCGCTGGAAGCAGGATCATCTCAATCCTTTATACATTTTGGTCGATTGAAGGGGTCAAAAGACCCTACAAGTTCTATGCAATGTGGTATGGACGCCAAACAGGTGCATCTTGAGTAAGACCCACCAAATCAAACCGTCCAGATGAGCGATGCTCTTGTCGGGTCCAGACACTTGATGATTGTTCTCTGTTCTTGTTTCGTGAATCTTTTGAAGCTATTCTCAAAATGGCAGGTCGACGCTTGGGTTTATCATCCCCGCATCCCCATAATCGGCTTTTTAATCTACAGTGGGCCCCCAGATTCACGTTACTTCAGTAGCAATGCTCCCCTTCGGTACTTCGTTATATCACACTCACGACCCAAAATAGGAATGTCGACCCCAAATCGCCGATCTCATCATGGATGGTGAAGAACAATTGCATCTCCCATGTCCCGTCAATGCACTAACTGTGTTGGTCTGGCAGTTGGACCTGCAAGTCTAGACGTCGCAAATGTGATCGGGCCCGCCCTACATGTCATGCTTGCAACGAGCGAGGGCTGCTGTGCGAGGGATATGACGTTCGACTGCGCTGGGGAACGGGCATTGCATCGCGAGGCCGTTTCACCGGCGCAGATACGCCAGTAGAATCCTCCGTGCCGACTCGAGCGAAGGGCCGACGGCGAGATCGAAGTCGAGAAAGACGACGACAATGTGCGATACTAGCAAGCTCTTCTGGAGAAGCTTCTCCCTCCTTCACGAATGAAGGTGCAGAAGGTGATCAGGCTTCTTTGCCCTCCTGATCATGCGTATCTTTAACACCCATTCAATAGATTTCGAGTCATGTAAAGTGCCAGCTTCGTCTCGGACCCCTAAAGAGAAATCTGATAACGAGCAACTATTTCAAGAATGTAAGAGGCAACTTTTGGAGAACTCTTTCAATCTCGCCTCTATTCGCCACTGATGCTAGAAACAGTTCTTTCATCGGGAATCCACATTCTGCACTCGACGACGGTTAATGATGAGGGTAACCTTCTGAAACCACATCTTCCTAGACTGTGCCAGCAATCAGAAGCGCTATATCTCATTTGTATCACGCTACAAGCTTCATTGACCGCGGATCTGGAGCCGCGCTTTTTCGAGTACTTTGACGCCGCTTTGAATAAATTCCGCAACGAGCTTGCCGGAAGCGAAACGTACCTGGAAGATGGCACCCTGACTGCTGGTTTACTCTTATGCAGCATCGGAGTAGGTTTGCAGATCCTTTACTTTCTCGATATCAGTTATTCATGAGTGTAGGTAATGCATGGCATTCCGTGGACAATGCATCTACGAGGGATGCACGGCATCCTTCGTTTGGACGGCGTTGACAATGCGCGGGATGCAAAGACACCGTTTCGTACGCATCTTTTTGAGGTCATGGGGATCATGGATCTTCCTACTTTTGCTATTGGCCGCCAGCACCCGCATCTAGGTTTCTGGAGGCGGCATTGTCGGAACCGGGACTCCCCTGGAGGATCATCTGGACGGGATGAAGTTGAGGTCGTGAGCGGCTTGCCAAAATCCTTGGTCGACATCTTCTCCTGCATTGGCGAGGGTGGTGCGACAGAGGAAGACTTTTGGGACTGGCCTGGTGCCCAAGGAAACTTTCTCCAATGCCAGCTATGGGAAGCATATCGATTAGCGGGTATGCTGGCCCTCCGCCATGAACAATTACACTTACCATTGAGCTCCGGAGAGAGGAGATTACAGCCCCCGAATGGGAGAGAGCAACGGCACCGGATACTTCCTTCAACTGCCGTCATTGTTTCGCGAATACTCAGCTGCGTTGACGCTATTCACCGTGCATCAGAAGAACCGGAAGGAAGGGACACGTTGATCATGAATGCCGTTCTCTACCCGATTTTCATCACCGGTCTACAGACTGACGTCCTGAATGAGGATCCAGCATTGAAGCAATGTGTACGAAGCCATTTACTTCTGAACTCGAATGGGCCTGTTTGGAGGAAGCAGTGCCAGCTTGAGTTGGAACTGCTCGAAGAGTACTGGCGTTACAGCAGCGGAACAGTCAGCATCCACCAACTTGCACAGGCACGAGAAATAGAGCTGGGACTTTTCTGAGAAGTGGATATGCGTAAATCCAAACTATCACTCTGCCGGGTCTTTGTTCACTGTTTGCCGCAGCATAACCCACAATCGTACTGCTTCGTCATCGTCGACTAGCTCGACCTCATCGACGACTTCAAACCCCAGACTCATATAAAATGAAATGTTACTCTCGCTCGTACATTCGAGTACTATGGGCTCGTGCTTGGCATAGTCTAAGACGCAGCCCATGACCTTCTTCCCGAGGCCTCGGGCTTGAAGGGAGGGATGAACAGCGATCACCTCCAGGTACCACAGGTTCTTCAGTTGATACTGTTTTTTGACTCGGTCAATGGCGTCGTTATGAGCAGCCATCATTCTCTCCATTCTCTGGGATGATTCACATGGTTATTCTTGCACAGCTGGGTCAGGGGCCACTTTGCAGCATACCTGTTCGCTGGTTCCCTTCTCGGAAACCGGACTGAAAATATCTAGCAACCGCAGTTGGCAAGCAAGAAAGATTCTACCCGGCGTCCATTTCAGATGGCTCGGAGGCGGAAATAACATAACAACTGCTCCTGCGTCGCCGTCAACCTTCCCGTCTCGGTCTGGCTCTGTGGCCACTGCTTCTGCATGCTTCGATTGCGGATGCTTAGACGGGAACATTTGGCCCATTTGTGTGACCGAGGTGGATTGCAAGACAAGACCCTCTACAGTGGCCCGTTGAACCCGGCGATACTGCCATCTGTATGTTTCGAAATCGTGTCGTGCCCATGGGGCCACGAGCGGACGCAACCATCTGATTAAGGGATCGTGGGCGAAGGAGAGAGTAATTGTATTGGCGACTGCGGACAATGATCGTGGATCTGCATTAAATGAGTTTAATTCAGTGTGATGTTTGCCATCAGGTCGGGAATCAAGTGTACCATTGTAGACGCGAAAGAGTTCCAATTTCGGGCCAGCAGACATATTCTGGGGATTTGGAGGATTTGTCAAAGAGTCGAAGAGCTTCCATTTACCTCAACTTCTTCCTTATACAGTATCGCGAAAAATAGGACAGCTTGATTATGACGAGGCGCAGATGTCCAAGATGGCGCTGTTTCCTGGCAGGTGAGATTGAGTGCTTCGACCTGCCTTGTTGGTCTTGTTTCCATCGAAGCGATCACGATAGGATATCCCATCGCTTTCCGTCTGGTGATCATTCGGCATTTCAAACGAATCATGTATTCCAGATTCACAGGTGCAGATTATCAATGAGGTTGATGTTGAAGCCTTCGTGATGTGACTATCCATATTGGGCAGGTCGACCCCCCCCTCTTAACCGAGACGATAACCCAACCTTCCATTGAACCTTGTATCTTCCCCCAAGAACGGATCGTGGCTTCATTGAGTCCATTGGGTCTTATCACCGTTCTGTTTAGCTCATTTCTTATCTGAACCCATGCATTTCCCCGCGTTTTGCTGGTGTCTGAACTTGCCTCCTGAGATATGGCTGAAGTGTCTTATCGAAATACGTGTGGCAGCTGCTCACGAGGCTTTCAAGGGCAGACATCGGCACCCCAACTTAGAATCATTTATCAAGCATGGCTGCCCGCTGGACAGGAAGCATCAACAGATTCAAACAGCCGAGATATTCTACTAAAATCTTCTTATATCTTTGCATCTTCATCGATACCATTCAGCATTGATGGCCGACAGTCACCGCGATGAATCACAAAGCATTCGCCAGGAGGAAGGCAACCTTCCTCCCGGGACTTTTCTTCTGATCAGTGGTAGGTGGTCATGTCACTTTGCTATGTCACCAGTGTCTAATTGAGGTGCAGAAGATGGCCCAGAGAATCATCGTGGACGGCAGATCCTTCTCAGTCCGACGCCGTCTAGCGATCCTAATGAGCCATTGGTGCGTCGTTCGGCCCTTTCTACAACTGCGATTAACCATGTTGTTAGAACTGGAGCACAGCGCGCAAGACATGCAACTTTACTCTCGTGTTGGCGGTGACAGCGCTGATATTCACTGCGTAAGTCTCTCCTTGTCAATAAAACAAGATCCAAGCTGATGGGTTCAACAATGCATGCCAGACTCTCGATTCAGACCATCTTCTGGCAGTTGATGGTGTCTGACCTGCAAGTAACTTATACTCAGCTCAACCGAGCCATGTCGGTCAATTTTGTCGGTCTCGCAATGGGATGTGTGCTATTCATTCCTCTAGCGAAGAAATTCGGACGGAGACCTGTGTATCTGGTTTCGACCGCGTTGATGCTGGTGACATCTTTCTGGACGTCACGATTGGAGAGCCTCGCGGAGCTGTATATTACCAACTTGCTCCAGGGTCTCGCCGGCGCGACAAATGAGTCGATTGTTCAGATCACGGTATGTGGCCCGCTTGTTGAGCGTTTCGGAGCTCATGCTTCTAGATCGCCGATCTCTTCTTCGTACATCATCGCGGGGGCATGAATGCTCTGTACATGACTATGGTGATGATTGGAGTAAGTAAAAAACACCACCGCCGTCGCCGATCACAGCCATGCTCATTCGTGCGTTGACAGAGCTTCCTGACTCCCATGGCGGCTGGGACTCAAGCAACACAACAAGGGTGGCGGGCATCCTATCGCACACTGGGGATCTGCAATGCGATCCTTTTCGTTCTGTTCATTTTTCTCTACGAGGAGACCAAGTACTCCAAGGTCATTGAGGGCGTGAGCGCTTCCGCAGAAGTTGCTGGGGATGCTCAGCAGGTTTCCGACCTCAAGGCGGATCGCAAGCCCGATCTCGAATGTCCTGCAAGTCGGGTGGAGACGAACTCGGCAGGCCCCCATGAACTGGATCACACCATCCCCATGAGGACCTGGAGACAGAGGCTCACTCTGTGGACCTACACCCCGGAGCCGATTTGGCCGTACTTTTATCGTCCGTTCATCGTGCTAACCACGTTCCCTGCCGTCCTGTTCTGCGCTATACAGTATGCATGCGGCGTAGTATGGCTGACCATCATGTCGAGTGTGATCTCTTTGGTGTTTCCCATGCCTCCCTATTTGTTTACTCCCGAGCAGATTGGATTCTTGGGTGTCGCCCCGTTCATTGGCAACTTGATTGGGTCGGTCTACGGCGGATTCTTGGGGGATCTTTCCATCTTGTTCTTTGCACGGCGTAACAAGGGCTACTACGAGCCCGAGATGCGTCTATACATTCTTCATCTTCCTGCATTGGCCTTGTGTGGGGGCCTGATCATGTTTGGGGCCACACTTGCCAGGGTAAGCGTTCCCACGACCGTGTTTTCCGCCTGACTGGGGACTGATTTTCATCAGGGCATGCACTGGATCTGGCCGAGCATCGGCGGCGCACTATTTGGTTTCGGGCTGGGTGGTATTAGCGATGCGGCTTTGACGCTGGTGATTGACAGCTATGTTGAGGTAAGATGCCCATCCCCTTTCCTTGCTGCTCCATGGGCTATTCTGACAAGGTGACCGGTGCTAGATCACTGGCGATGCCTTCACAGGCGTTGCGTTTCTACGCAACGCAGCCAGCATCGGGATTCCCTTTGCTATCGCGCCGTGGATGCAACGGAGCGGACTGACCAACATGTTCATCGCCTGCGGGTTTATCAGTCTGGCAATCACCATGACCATCATCCCGATGGTGGTGTACGGGAGGAAGATTCGGGCGAAGACCGCGGGTCGGTACCGATTGATGGCTGCTCAACAGGGGCAATGAGTTCATTTTTTTTGATTGTCTTGCTTCCAAACCTTGATTCGGGGAATCCATCGGGAATCCATAAGACAAGGAAGCTGGGGAGATGGGGCCCAACTCCGCCGGACTGGAAGTCGGCATCTGGCGTGACCGGAAAGCTGTCAAGTATATCAGACTTTTATATGCAATTTATTCGAACACTCTGTCGGTGGTGTATACTTCAAGGGGATGGCGAGTCGTCGGCTAGGAGCGGATAGATCTGGAGTAGCTCCATAGGGCCAATTCTAGAATTTCGCTCGGTTATCCTCGTCTTTGATCATGAGAAAAAGATAACAGGGAAAACAGTTCGGTATTCACTCCGGATGAGAATTCATAGAAAGCAGTCAGGAATTGATCCAGGTTATCAAATATTTTCATGTTATTATCAGGCGGGAGACAAGAAGTCATAGTTCGCTTATTTAGCCGGTCTCGTATACGAAGCTAATCCGGTGGGCGCATCAAAGGGCGTGCCCCAGCCAAGGAAGTAAGATGAAGGGCGCAAATCAAGCATGAAAAAAACCTCGGTATTGTATTCGATAACATGCATCAAGGTCCTCATGACAAGTGTCTATTATTCTAGACTTGAAAATCATCAGGATGTGAAACAAATAGTGAAGCAATGGAAGACACTTATTGTTGCATGATCATCATGCTATGCACGAACAGACCAGGTTGATCACCATTCTATTGATTCTTTTCTTCTTCTGGAGTCGTCATCATATCCTCTGCATAATTGTAATATTCTATCCTGAACTATTCCTGCAGTACAGAGACTAGAATCTGTCATGTCATTGCAAGGGCGCAGACGGAGCATTAGTCATTCCACACATAGTCATTCTTCCTCAAACTGACCAATCATTGCTGCTCCCCGTCGCAGGTGGATATTATTATTGCTTCTTTTTTCTCCTCCCAACTTCTTCTTCTGCCATCATCTATCTACCACTAGGTATCTTCAAAGTAAGAAATCGGGAAGTTGTCCTGAGATCACACGTGCTCTGTGGCTTTCGCTTTCTCGGGCTGTCGTTCTCATGATCCATCCATCCATCCATCCATTCATTCTATCGAGTCGGTCAATCAGTCCGGATGTCGCAATCCATGGCTGATCGCTTCCCCGTATTGCTTTTTCATACTCCTTCTCGTCCAAGCGAGGATGCGATTCTAACTTTTCTTAATGCCAATGAAATGACTCACGAAATCTCGATGATGCTTAGCAATCCATGCTGGTTCAATTGAACATGTCTACTCCATGCAGATGGGGGATCTCCTCGCTTTTATAAACATGCATTGTTTCCCTTCCTCCCCGTTGTAACTCTATCTCATCCTTTTTTTCTTCTTCTACTCTTGTATAGAACTATAGACCCTCAAGGCTCCACTGCTGCTCTTTTCCATTACCCAACAGCAATCCTCCATCACCCCATCCCTGGATTCTCCAGTCATAGCTTCCGCGGCAATTTCCGTCGCTTTCCTTTTCCTTTTTATTTTTGGCCGACGGAGTACAAGACTGTTTATCAAATATAACTTGCGTGATCCCTTGACTGCTGCTTCTGCACTTTTTATCTGTATACAAACGGATCGAACTGCGCTGAGGCGCTGGATCTCTATACTTCCTCCACTCGATCAATCGATCAATCGATCAGCTCCTCTCAATGGCGGCTTCGATCATCACTCGGGGATCCAGTTCCCTGGAATCCCTGACTGGACGCTCTCGTCCCAAGATCCAGATCGACTTCGCCAATCAGACAGAAGGACTTGTCAACTCGTATACAACCAAGGACCACATCGAAGGGACCGTGACCATCAGAGTCGACCATGACACGCGCTTCGAGGATGTCGAAATCACCTTTGAAGGTACGACTTCCCCGTCAGGTGCCAGGGTTGCATGCTTGCTGACAGGCGAGAATAGGAACAGCAAGAACGTCGGTGGAACGAGCAGCCTACCCCGGCCGCACGGGGGCTTACCAGACATTCCTCAAGCTGCGCCAGCCCATTGATGACGCCGCATACCCAACTCCCCGCATTCTTGAGAGTGGGCGCTCCTACCAGTTCCCCTTTACCTTTGTCGTCCCCGATCGTCTGCTCCCCCATGCCTGTAGCCACTCCAAGACCAACGCCCATGTGGAGCGGTCCCACACATTGCTGCCGCCAACCCTGGGGGACCCCATGCTCGCCAGCAACGGAAAGGCCCTGCTGGACGATATGGTGCCCGAGATGTGCCAGATCTCTTACATGATCCGTGTTGTCGTGCACCGCAAGCCCGCCGGTGAGAGCGGCGCACGCAAGGCCCTCGCCTCGGCGGGAAAGAAAGTGCGCATTGTCCCTACCGTCGACGAGGAACCGCCGCTCAACGTCTTCGAGGGCGAGGACGTCTACTGCACCCGTAAGGAGAAGAACGTCAAGCGCGGACTCATGCGCGGCAAGCTGGGTCGCTTGGTTGTGGCCGCCTCGCAGCCCAGACCAGTCCAGCTGACCGCGCCCCAGTGCGAGACAAAGGACTCTGTCGGCACCGTGGCAACCATCCACCTGCGCTTCGATCCTGTCGGCAGCGAGGCGCCCCCCCGGCTCGGCAGCGTCTGGAGCAGACTGCGTGTATCGACATTCTACAGCGCCACTCCCTGGGAAGATTACCCGTCCGCCCTGTCGGCGACCATGTGGGCGCAGGCCGGTAAGAGTGTTTACACCGAGACCGTGCCCCTGTCTACCCTCTGCGTCGCCTCCGCCCAGTGGACTAAACACTCGGTCTCGAGCCCCGTCCGCCGGGACTCAATGGAATCCACCTCCTCGTCGGAGTCGCTGACGGGACCCTCTGCCTCCTTCGCCGGAAGCACCTACTACACCGCCTCGGTGGTGGTGCCCGTCTCCCTTCCCACGTCCAAGGCCTTTGTTCCGACCTTCCACTCCTGCCTCATCTCCCGCATGTACACCCTCGACCTGAGCATCTCGTACCACACTCCGAACGCCAACATCCTGACTCCCACCGCCTCCCTTCGCGTTCCACTCCAGCTCACCTGCCAGCCTAGGGCAGATGCGCGCTCCAAGCACGCGGTCCACGAAATCACCCTGGAAGAGGTGGACGCCGAGTTCTTCAGCCCTCGCAGCGTTGCGCCTGCGGCCCCATCCATCACCTCTTGCGAGTCGTTTCCTCTGGCGGAGTCGAACTCCATTGCGCCCCCGCCAGAGTACTCCGAGATCAGGGCGCCATTGCTGGCGAACGAGCAGCCCCGTCGTGTTGCTGCTGGTTGATGATTGAAGAGGAGTGATGTGATGAAAATTACTAATCGCATGGCGTTTGGCTGATTGCTTGTATGATATACCCATTGATATTTTGATACCATAGGTGAATTTTTGCTTCAAAAGTTTCGGTTCGACATGGCATTGTTATTAGCTTGCTTTACCTGGCTAGAATTTGCATCGGTATTCTTAGATATTAATATAATCGATCTTATCATCTTACATTCCCCTGTCCTCAGAGGAAATGTGTTTGTACCGCAAAATGCTCAAGGTTTCCACGCAGCAGTTCAGCACCATTCATGGCGTCAAATACAGTAATCGACTACGTCCTCATAGTTGGCGATGTCGAATGGGAAAAAAAATGATAAAAATGACAAGGGTGGGATTCGAACCCACGCCCCTTTCGAGACACGGAAACTGATGATCAGTTTATAGGTCCAGTTCCTGAACCGTGCTCCTTAGACCACTCGGACACCTTGCCGTTAGATGGTAAGTTTTTCCCCGTTTTTGCATTATATATCAAAAAAGGCAATTTGCGTAGAGCTTCCCCTATCTCTTAAATCTCAGTCTTTCCACTTTAGGCAGCGTTGCTCAGGAGTAAGCACGCATACTTAGTCTCTATCCTGAAAATATCAGTTTGGACTCGCACACAACTTCTTACCAGTCGAATCCCAGCATGTTATTCTGTGGTGCGTAAGCTTGCTCTGTGCGCGCTGCTGGTTGTCGAACGCCTCAACTTCTGGAGTAGCCAGAATGCCATTGTCCATTGCGTTCCGTGAGTGCTCAGTCTTCTCCTCCGGCTTTGAAGCTACTCGGCATTGTCCTCGTCAAATAGGACGGGTTTGATGCTCCGCCATCAAGAATCTGCTCGTGGGAGCCGAGAAAGTCATCTTCGTCTATATGCCGCCGCCCACTTTTGTGGCTCCTCCTTCTACAGGTGCAGCCGCAGCGAGGCCGTTAGGCCTTTGTCATCTTCGCTCCATGTAACGAGTCTAACGCGGGGGGTGGCTTGTTCGCGCTACGGCAATTAGAAGGTGGGCTGGTAAGTGAGGCAGCCATGGTGAAGCGTGGCAGATCCAATACTGATTGAGCTGTGCAGATCACCCAATTAGACACAATAGCATGTTTGTGACTGGGAGGCTGGAGTATCTGGCATGATCGACGTCCTCTTCCTATCATCTACTCCGTACTCCTACACAGATGAAACGCCCACACGGTGGGTCGGATGCTCCTCTGCCTGAAGCCATCCCGGGACCTCTGGCACATCCAGCTTGCCAGGACTGTGTATATGCATCCGTCAGATAGAAGGATCGCAGCAACATGGCTTGGTCTGCCCCAACTAGATCCTCACTGCCCCATATATCCCCTCCCTTTCCACGACTTCAACGCCAGCCCATCCCATTCGCCACCATGGCAGACACCACCCAGTCAACCGCCCTGCCCTCGCCAGCACCGTCCCCGAAACCACCATCCCCTCCTGGCTCGCCGGCACCAGCGCCCGAGTCCCAAGCAGCGTCTACGGCTCCGCACACACGCACAGTATCCTCAGCATCACCCCCGCCGTAGCGGAGACCATCGCCCTCCATCTCGCGACGATGCCCACCGACCCAGGCACGATGCTATCCGTGCATCAGCTGCGGGGCCCGTCCGCCCAAGAGCAGGACCACACCAATGTCTTCGAGGCACGGGAGCCGCACTACATGCTGGATATTCTGGGGTATGCGGTGGAGGAGACGCTCAGTGCAGAGGCGACGGAATGGACTGTGCAGATGACCGGGGGGGATTGAGCGGGCGGATCCCGGGAATATGCTGCCGACGGCGTATGTATCGTTGTAGTACTGCTGCGGGCGAGGTCATCGGACGAGGTGCAGCGGATGGTATATGGGTCCAAGGCTGAGGTTGTGAGAGATCCGAAGAGGACATTTGATCCGGAGGAGGTGTCTTAAGCTGACGGATCCGTTTGTTGCTAGGGTAGAATACGCATGATGGATATATATACTCCGTATTGATGCACATAAACGACAGACCTCTCGACTAAATCCATCCATACCGATTATAGAACATCCCGATTCTAGCATACCAAGATAGACAAACACTTTACCCGACCATGTCGAACCAATTCAAAATCGAGAACTTAGGGCAAGATCAGACCTAGCTTCCTGGTGGCAACGGCGACTTGGTGTCAAAATATTGCAAATACCGTAAGCATGGCAAGGTGTCCGAGCGGTCTAAGGAGCACGGTTCAGGAACTGGACCTATAAACTGATCATCAGTTTCCGTGTCTCGAAAGGGGCGTGGGTTCGAATCCCACCCTTGTCATATTTATCATTTTTGTTTTGTTTTGTTTTTGCTCGGTGTTCAATGAACGATATGAGAAATACTAGCATACCAATCGACGGGTCAAGTCTATTAGACATCTATACAAGACTGCAAGACAACCAGAGTCAGAAACTGGCATAGACCAACTTTTCGCATATATACAAATCCAAAGACCCTGATTTTGAACGCCAGATATGCTTTCCTCCAATAAACTCGCCTACGTCAACATATCATCCAGCTTCTCTCCCAGGACACTCTCAATCTGCTTAACCCACTTGCGGACTTCCCGCTCGACGTTCTCGTCCTCGTCCTCCATCAGCTCGCTGATATATGGCAGCATCTCGGGCAGAAGGGCAAGCCACTCCTCGCCCAGCTGCTCGGTGAGTGATTGCTCGGCCTTGAGCGCCGCGAGGCGCGTGTGCGGGTTCTCGCCTCCTGCAGCTTTGCCGTTCGGCCCGGCGGATGGACGGAGGAACTTCATCAGGGCCGTGTTGAGTTCCTTGTGGTTGTCTGTCGAGTCGGCGGCGACGGCGAGCTCGGTGATTGCGGGCACGGCCTCGGCGATCACGGTGGCCGCCGTTGACGAGTTCGTGGCGTGTGCAAGTTGATTGATTAGAGGCGTGGAGATTTGGTTCAGGTGCGATGGTGATTGCCAGAATTCTGCGATGGTTAGCTTCAGCGTGAACCGGTGGAGAGAAGGGGCATTACCATCTTGATCGTGCTCAAAGGCGTTGCGGAGCAAACGCATCGTGGCCAACCACAGAGACTTGGTGCTCTTGTCCGCCGGACTGGCCTTTCCAAGGACGGAAACCACGCTTTCGATGATGTAGCTGGCGTAACCGGTGACGATAGACTGGTCTTTGTCAGTGACGGTGAAACGTTTGAGAAGTGAGTAACATACCTGGAGAGTCCCGAAGAAGACCTGCAGGAACTTGTAGAACGTTGTGAGTCGGGCCCATCTGCCCTGGGTATCTTTCTTTGGTAGACCCGAGGTGGCCCAATCCAGCATCTTCGTGAAGATGGGACGGAAGGTGGTGTCGTTCAGCTTGTAGATCATCTTGATCGTGACGTCGTTGATGGCATCTTCGATTTCATCCACGTCAGCCGCATCAAATGTGGCCTTCGCGCCCAGTGCAAGCTGCTCCCGGCGCAAATCGAATGTCTTGAACAGGATGTTCGACAAAACCCCAATATTCTTGCCAGTCGCCGATTTTGGATGCTTGTCCACGGCGAGGCTGACCACCTCCAGCGTCTCCTTCGCGGCGACCGGCCCCGCCTGCACGGCGTACTGCCAGTTGCGATCAACCGCTCCCAGCGTCGCAGCCATGTCAACCTTCCGCGCCATCATCTTCAACGCTTCTTGTCGGCTATCGTCTTCGCAGTCTTCAGCGTTGGCAGACTTGAAAGAGAGCAGAAGGATCTTATCCAGATGAGTGCCAGAGATCATATACGGAATATGAACAAAGAGCGCCGAGAACAGCGTGAAGACGGCATCGTGTAACCGGGAGTTCTCCTTGCCTTTGTCCAAGCTCAGTTCAAGCAGAGCCAGGGATCGGCTGAGTGCCTCTGGGAGTGCTGGGATCATGGCTTGGCCAAGGGTCTCAGCCATGGATGCAAGGCACAAAACACCCATGATACGAATACGGTCATCCGTCTGGCCAATGCAGGCCTCGCTAGCCACGACCTGGGCAGCACCGATAACTCTCGATGGGTCCTTCTTGCCGTACTTCTCGGCGATGCGATCGATACAGGCAACCGCGGCGTGCTTGAGCAGGATATCTGTCGAGTCCCGCACGATGTCAACAAGAGTAGGCAAGAAGTCAAGCACCCGGATCTGAGAGGCGCTGTCGCGTTCTGGGTTCTGGCGAAGGCGGCCCTCGAGGAGCCGGAGGACTTTCCGACGGAGCTCATCGTTGGGCCGCTGAAGCAACACTTCGATGGTGTCGAGGAAGTCGACCAGTGTCAGCGTGCCAAACAACGCGGCCAGGACGTCACCGTTCGCCTGGCTAACGAGCTTCATGCTCTGCACGGAATCACCAATCGTCAAGACCTGTTCCAGGATTTGAGAGAAAACGGTACGGATCTGTCCGATAGCCTCGTCGTCCTCTGAAGCAAAAGTCTTGGCCATCTTGATCTTGAGAGACGAATGCTTAAAGAGATAGGCCAAGTCACGAAGTAGGTCAACCGCAACCTTCTGAGGCTCGCGTCCGTCATCACTACCAATTCCAAGGAGAACTTGCGAGATGCCAGGCTTCGTCTTGAGCGAGTCGCTGACCAATCCGAGGAATTTGCTATATGTCTGTATAGGGTCAGTAAATAGTCCAAAAAAATGCGGATTGATGAACACCTACCGTAAGCTCAACAGGAGCACTGGCATCGGAAACGAGGCCTGTCATCAGGACAAGGACATCTTTGTCCATGGCATATCTATTGGCGAGCATTGCCAAAACAGCAAACAAGAAGTCCTGCGTTCCTAGCTTTGTAATCAGAGCATGGAAGAGGCGCAGACGACGGTGTGAAGGGATGTGCTCAAACGCAGCTGTAAAGCTTAGCAGCAGCTCTGATGTTCCAGACACCACATCACGCTTCTGATTACGCAAGGACTGGATAAGAGCAGGCACAACTTGGTCGATGGTCTGGTCAATGACAGAGACCGAGTACTCATCATCTTTCCTGAGAACACTGGAGCCCATGAACGTGAAAATGGGCATGACGCTGTGAAGAACCAACTCAGGTGCGATGACGGAAAGCCCGGCCACGAGAAGCAAAGCCGCATTCTGCACTTGAGGGCTCTCGGTGGTCCGCACGCAGTCCACGACCAAGTCGGCGCGAATGACCGAGGTATCGAACTGGGCCTTTGCGCTCTCCTTTGACCGGTTGACGATGGCCAGCAGACTACCCAGAGTCAAGCTGAGCAAATAGCTCATTCCAGACTGAATCTGAGACTTGAAGTGATGGAGAGCAGCCAGAGCTTGGAAAAGACCGTCGGCGAGCTCCGGATGAGTCTCCGGTGATGAGCTGTCGACAAGTTCCAGGATGAAAGTCATCTTCTCCATGACCTTGCCGAATTCCGCCTCATCCTTAACGGTCATCGCAATCATGTTGTTCTGACTAGTGCGCCTTCTCTTTGGCGCGGGCCCAAGAGCTTCCATATCGGTGAGAGTGACAGGTATTTTTTCCAGATATTGAGCGAGTACAGAGCCTGGGAGCTCAACGCTGCGGAGAAGATCCCTGCAATTGTTCACAAGAGGCAAGTTGGAAAGACCAAGAGAGATATCGAACAGCTGCTCCGCCGCCACAACCTGACGGTCCTCCGCCACTCGAGCCCAGATGTCCTTTATGCGGCCAAAGACGGCTGCAATGAAAGAAGGCCTCAAAGATTCCGAGTGAGGGCTCACATTTGACAAAAGCATCATAATGGCATCCTTCTCCTTGGGCGTGACAATCGTTACCATCTGACGCTCCACTTCCGAAACGGGGACCCGCTCTTTCTCGCAGATATCCTGGACTTCACGCTCACTCAATCCGCGCCAAGACTTCAGCAGAGGCTCAAGCTCCTTCGTACGAGTGGCTCCACCAGCCTTGTCGATGCGGTTGAGAAGTTTGAGCAAGCCAAGTTTAGGTGTGAATAGCGGAAGCTGAATGGCATGGGAGCACAGAAAGCTGAAAAATGCCAGTCTCAGAGGCTTCTTGAGCTCAGACGCATTCGCATCGACCGAGACTCCCCGAAGAGTGTTCTCCAGAACCTTGCCAATGTGAGCCGCATCGAAGATGCATTCCTCCAAACTAGGAAGCACTGCGCGTTCAAAAACCTTCTGCGCGTCACGGGTGGGGAGCCATTGGATGTCCTTCGGTTGTTTTTCTTGACCATAGAGGGTGTCGCGAGCCCAGACATCCTCTCCCTTCTTATTCTTCTTGTAGAGACTACCGGCAGCAGCAATAACTGCAGCAGCCTCACGGCGAACACGTTCCGACGGATCCGTGAGGGCAACTAGCAGGAATGGCAACAGCGCCTGGAAGTCTAGGTTCGGGTTCTCGGTGGATGTGAGGAAAGAGGCGATCATATTCAAAGCCGTGACCCGTGTGCCCATTGGATATGGACCAGAGAATACTCTGACGAAGAATGATAGGTATTGCGGGGTCTTTGTAGCCTCGCTCTTCCCGAGAGCCGCCAGATCGGAGAAAGTCTGACATTTCTCCTTCGAGCCAACTGCCAGTGCCAAGGCTTGGACAAGCCTCTCGAACACAGGGATGAATTGTGTGCTGAGGAAAGAGCCCTTGAATGACTTCTCCCCGCTCAAGGATTGCACAGCCGATGAGAAGCTGTCTTGCTCTTCTTCCTTCTCCGCATCCTCCATCTCGACATCTTCCACAGCACGAGGCGCAGGCGCGGCATCGATCACTGTCTGCAGATTGTGTTCTAGCGTAGCAATGTCGAAAGATGACTCCGCAATTGTCTTCTGGAAGA